TACCATCGTGAAAAAGTGCAAAAAATTGATTTAAATTGATTTTTTTCAGAAGATTATATTGTTTTTTTCATAATCTGAAGCTTACTTGTGAAATTAGGATTTTACCAGGAAAAAAAAAATTCTCAAAATGCTGTAATTTGAAAAGAAAATTTTAGCTGAAACAATTCCCAAAAATATTTTGTCTTTCAAAAATAAGTGTCTCCAAAATGAATAAATGTGTTAATCACTTGCCTTAAAATACGTAGCTAGGTCCAATTTTGTGGTTAGAATTTAGAAAATATATAATTTCTTGGTATGTCAAAGTTTGATCCCCGTATAATACTTTACAAATCAAAAATCAAGTCAATCAAGTCTTTCAAAAATGAATAAAAATAACTTATTTGCCATAAAATACATAGCTATGTCCTGTTTTATGCTTAAAAATCAGAAAAAAAAATTCTGGTACATCAACAATAATAATAATATTTGATTCAAAAAGTCTTGAAAAAATAAAAATTTCCCAAACATGAATAAAAATTAACTAATTAAACTAATATGTACGTAGCTATCCGGTTGCACCCAAGAGACCTCAGGTCGACTTTTGCTCAGTCTTTCTTCTCTTCAGGTATATTATCATTGATAAAGGTATATTATTATTTCTTAATCTGCATTTTTAGGCATCAGCATTTAGTAGCGTTTTTGACATCTTTAGACATAGTTTTAGCATTTGTAGCACATACTCGACACCTGCATGGAAAATTTGGGACCATAAAATTGCATTTTTAGGAATTTTTGGAACAATTTTTATTGTTTTTGCTTTCTAGCAAAACTCATAGCATAGTAATTTGTATAATTTTTCACATCACACACACCCACATGTACTTTCTTAAAAGCATTTATTGAAATATTACAATCCTGTTGTAACCCAATTGATAACATCTCCCATGCAGAAATGTGATGAGAAAAAAAATTGTAAATGCCTTGAAATTCACAATTTAGGCATCCCTCACTGACCTTCCATTTCCCCCAAAAATAGAATCTATAAAAGGCAGATGTCTCATAACGTTTGGTTGTTTTTTTTTTCTGTTCTTTAACCTCAACCCACTGGGGGAAAAAAACCCTGAAAACTGATCACAAATATCAAAGTTTTGCCCGTGGCACACATCTGAAAACTCTCTGGCTTATCAAACAAAAATATTATAACTCACTGAAACCATGAGAATCTAGGGTCAGGTCCACAGCAAAACCAGGATCAGTTCGTGTCATCAGCCAGGAAGAGCACGCGGACAGCTGCAGCGGACCAGACGCTCCCTGTCTGACGGTCGGCCTCAACAAACCACCAAAAATTAACTGTTGGGTTGTAATGAACAATAAACAGTCAGTATGTGTGTGTGTCGTCATCATTTAAACATCAAGTGGTGGAGTGAACGCAGTGGAAATACATTCACTTTTGTTTTTGTTTTTTTTTTATGGCCTCCATGATGTAAGAATCTGCAAACCCTATATTGAAATTTAATTTACAAGTTTATTATATTTGTCACAAACATGAATGTGCCATAATAATGCATTTTCTTTGACAGGTTACACATTCTATCTGTAAAGAGAGGGAGTCAGAGACCAGTTCAATTGCATAGCAATTTAATCCTTGTCCAAAAGACGCTTACCATATCACAGGGAGAGGCCCTGTTGTCACTCTCAATCAGTGTTTAAATCGACCAAGACGATATCAATAAAAACTATTGATAACTGCTCACTATCTCTAATAGTGACCACGTTCAATCAACAGGCATCGCAGGGTCTGAGGAGAAGCCGTTCCTACACGTCATGACCAAATATCCACTGTGTGTGTTCCCAGTCTAAACCACCAAATTACAGGAAAATACAAGACGGGTGCTTCATGTAATAAATTCCAAACAAACTTTTAAAATCATTTAAAGTTTGTTCTGTGTCAAGTCAAAGGCTTCCGGGCTAAAGTTGGGCAGGTGGTACAGAGAGTCGAGTTAAAACGGAGAGAAAAAAAAAAACCAAAACAAAACATGAGAAACATGCACGGGGGAGGGGGAATTGGGGGGGGCAGGGGGAGTTGTGGAGGAGGGGTGGGGTAGGCTTTTCTAATGCCACATACTGAGTGTGCACACAGACAGGCACAAACACACATCTCCACCGACGACCCTCGCGGCTCATGCGGCGCTCTGCTCCAGATCAGACCCACGGGGCGTTTGTTTTCGTCCAGAGCAGAGAGCTGCAGGAGCAGCAGGAGCTTCACGTGGAGACGCAGCCTATACAGACACCGCTCCCCCCCGGTCAGAGGAGGGCTTCTACTACACATCACAATCTTTTATCCACAGTTTGGAGTTCAGTCTCGGAATGTCAACAGCAGCACGTTTTTGTCTCTCCCTGTCCTTTTCGTAAACGCCCCCCTGTGTGTCACTGCAGGTCTCGGTCTTCCAGGTACCTATACTCAAAGGTGAACCCCTCCTTCTTCCTCTGGCCCCATTTCTCATAGTCGAAATAAATGTAAGTGCCCTAGAGAAACAGAAACAGCAGCAGAAGAGGAGGAGGTGAACAAACGTGATTCAAACAGAATAAGGGGGAGTGGGGGAGGGGGGTGAGAACAGGAAGGAGGCCACACCTGTTCAAACTCATCAGTGATGGTCTTGGGCTCCTCATGTCTCTGGAACCACATCATGTACTTGGTGTGAAACCTCCACGATTGTTTCTTCAGAGCCTTGGCCGACAGATACTGAGCCTTGGTGCCCTGAGACAATGACACAGGAGGCGGGACTTTGGTTTAACCTCAGATACACAGGGACTGGGCCACACACACACACACACACTTGAACTGATGTGCCGAGCCAGTGACCCAGTTCTCCTCAACTGCCTTTCACTACAACGCCTGCACACCGGTCAGCCCGTGCTGTGTGTTTTCCTACTGCAGTTTTATTTAAGTAGGTCAACAAAAGTCAGCAGTTTGGAGGAATTATGAAATCACAGACAAAGACTTTTTTTTTTGTGAGATCAGGTCTGTTGTGATGGGAACAGAAAACAATGATTTTTGCAGACACTTTTATCCAAAGTGACTTAACAAGAGGGGGATTAACAATTGTGGTTCCTCTGGGAATCGAACCCAGGACTCTCTGCTTCTGAGGCAGGCGTGCTAACTGCTACAATTTAACCAAACACCTGACGACCAGTCTTAGCACTGATTACATCGATGTCTGTGTAATGTTGATCTAATAAAAGGAAGTCGTTCTACTCGGTTTGAGTGACTGTTTACTGTAAGACAATATTTTCTACTGAAATGAACTTTTGTTCTAATGAAAACAGTAAAAGACACCAATCAAAACGCATGTCGTTGTTTGGTGAAATCGCGAAAAGTGTGAGTGACACGGTGGTGATTTTGAATGTTTTACCTCCAGGTAGTAGAAGATGAAAAACAGTGTTTCAGTAGACAGCCTCTGGTAGAACTCTATGGAGTCAGAGTGGTGGGGCGGGACCTGATGATGGAAGGGCAACGTCGGACACGGGTTCCTCATCAGGTATTGCCTGAAGGTAAACAGGTGGACGTCAACACACTGCTGTTGTTTCACTGGAGTCACAAACGCTTCCGTGACCGTTTGACGTGTCACTGCCGTTACCTGATCCTCTCAGAGTCTGAGGGGTGGGGCATGTGGGTCCAAGCAGACTCCTGCATGGCCTGCTGGTAGAGCTGGTCTTTGGGGAGAGGAGTTGGGCCCAGAGGACAGACTCCCAGTGAGGGCGGGATGCTGACCTCTGACACAGACGGCTGAGGAGCTGCAGGAGTGCCCGGCGCCGCAGACGAACTGGAGAAGATGTCTGCGTGGACAAAAAGTGAAGACATTTTTTTTAGCTAATGCCTCCGTTCACTTGAACATCAACCTGTGTGTGTGGTTGAAGCAGAACTTTGGGAAATGAGTGAACACATGGTTTAAATATTAAAGAGTTCAAATAAAAGAGAGCGCCACCCGTTCTGTGGAACCAACTGTCCACTGATTTGTGTCACACATTAGGGTTAATATTTGCCCCTCAGTCCAGTAACTAACACTCACAACTGGACCGTCTTTGAGACTTTGTTCACATCTTCCAAACTGATCCAACCATACATCTCACTTCTGAGTCATAGACTGTTTTGACTCAAGTCTGAGGGAAGTTGAGTTCAAATTATAAAATCAACAACCACGGATCCCAACAGACAAATAACTGAATGAGCGAAGAGACTTAACTGCCGTCTCCACTTAATGAGTCTCAGAAACGTTATATGTTTTTATTTCAATTCAATTAGAGAACAGGCAGTTTGACTGAAGAACTGTTGGACTACAGAGGGTGGGATTTTACTGAAGCGCTAAGTGGACTGAACTAGTGTGACTTCGAGGAGCAGACAGTAGGGAGAGGGGCTGGGGAGCGGTCCAACATCTCCTCTCGTTGCCAACATCTCTTACCTCTGTCTGTCAGATGGAGGTTGGGAATCTCTCCATCCAGACCTGGTCCCAGTACGGCTCTTTCAGCCATCGCTTTCAGAGAACTCAGAGGCTCAGGTGGCTGCGGAGGAGATGAGAGGGGAAAAAATAAAAAAAAATGAACCGAAACCTGGTTCACACGTCAGCGGTAGGATCACGAGCTGTTCAACTGAAGAGCTAAGCCATTTTAGCAGCGATGGCCGGCCATGGGAAGAGCAGACGTAGACCAAAAAAAAAAAAAAAAAAAAAAAAACCAAAAAACCATTTCCAGTTTTACAAAATAAAAGCTTGCGCCTTTTTTTACGGTTTTTTTGGGAAAGGGTGATGGGAACAGAAAACCATGATTTTTGCAGACACTTTTATCCAAAGTGACTTAACAAGAGGGGGATTAACAATTGTGGTTCCTCTGGGAATCGAACCCAGGACTCTCTGCTCTCTGCTTCTGAGGCAGGCGTGCTAACTGCTACAATTTAACCAAACACCTGACGACCAGTCTTAGCACTGATTACATCGATGTCTGTGTAATGTTGATCTAATAAAAGGAAGTCGTTCTACTCGGTTTGAGTGACTGTTTACTGTAAGACAATATTTTCTACTGAAATGAACTTTTGTTCTAATGAACACAGTAAAAGACACCAATCAAAACGCATGTCGTTGTTTGGTGAAATCGCGAAAAGTGTGAGTGACACGGTGGTGATTTTGAATGTTTTACCTCCAGGTAGTAGAAGATGAAAAACAGTGTTTCAGTAGACAGCCTCTGGTAGAACTCTATGGAGTCAGAGTGGTGGGGCGGGACCTGATGATGGAAGGGCAACGTCGGACACGGGTTCCTCATCAGGTATTGCCTGAAGGTAAACAGGTGGACGTCAACACACTGCTGTTGTTTCACTGGAGTCACAAACGCTTCCGTGACCGTTTGACGTGTCACTGCCGTTACCTGATCCTCTCAGAGTCTGAGGGGTGGGGCATGTGGGTCCAAGCAGACTCCTGCATGGCCTGCTGGTAGAGCTGGTCTTTGGGGAGAGGAGTTGGGCCCAGAGGACAGACTCCCAGTGAGGGTGGGATGCTGACCTCTGACACAGACGGCTGAGGAGCTGCAGGAGTGCCCGGCGCCGCAGACGAACTGGAGAAGATGTCTGCGTGGACAAAAAGTGAAGACATTTTTTTTAGCTAATGCCTCCGTTCACTTGAACATCAACCTGTGTGTGTGGTTGAAGCAGAACTTTGGGAAATGAGTGCAGAACACATGGTTTAAATATTAAAGAGTTCAAATAAAAGAGAGCGCCACCCGTTCTGTGGAACCAACTGTCCACTGATTTGTGTCACACATTAGGGTTAATATTTGCCCCTCAGTCCAGTTACTAACACTCACAACTGGACCGTCTTTGAGACTTTGTTCACATCTTCCAAACTGATCCAACCATACATCTCACTTCTGAGTCATAGACTGTTTTGACTCAAGTCTGAGGGAAGTTGAGTTCAAATTATAAAATCAACAACCACGGATCCCAACAGACAAATAATTGAATGAGCGACGAGACGTAACTGCCGTCTCCACTTAATGAGTCTCAGAAACGTTATATGTTTTTATTTCAATTCAATTAGAGAACAGGCAGTTTGACTGAAGAACTGTTGGACTACAGAGGGTGGGATTTTACTGAAGCGCTAAGTGGACTGAACTAGTGTGACTTCGAGGAGCAGACAGTAGGGAGAGGGGCTGGGGAGCGGTCCAACATCTCCTCTCGTTGCCAACATCTCTTACCTCTGTCTGTCAGATGGAGGTTGGGAATCTCTCCATCCAGACCTGGTCCCAGTACGGCTCTTTCAGCCATCGCTTTCAGAGAACTCAGAGGCTCAGGTGGCTGCGGAGGAGATGAGAGGGGAAAAAATAAAAAAAAATGAACCGAAACCTGGTTCACACGTCAGCGGTAGGATCACGAGCTGTTCAACTGAAGAGCTAAGCCATTTTAGCAGCGATGGCCGGCCATGGGAAGAGCACACGTAGACAAAAAAAAAAAAAAAAGTCCAAAAAAATAAATTGACATAAGCCATTATTTTAGAAAGATACGACCTCACTGTCTTCACCTGACCTCAAGGCTGCAGGAATGTTAAAAAACCTCAGCTCACCTTGAGGCCCTCAGAGGCCTGAGTGTAGGAGTGGGGCCCGTTCAGGAGGCTTCCTCCTCCAGGTGTGCTGTCTGAGAATGAGGGGGACGGAGAGCTGGGAGGCAGCGTGATGGAACTGATTAAACTAGGGCCATTGTCCATCCTGCTCCAAGGAGAAGAGTAACAGTTAATTTCTCTGGTAAAAAAAAAACAAAAAGGAAAGATGTTAAGTGAGAGAACTGAGAGGAAGTAGATTTATAACAACAACAACAAAACAAAACAAAAAGAAAAACTCACGGCTGGCTGGTTGAGGAACTGAGAGATGAGGGCTGGCTGCTTTGTGACTGGTTTGGTGTACTTAGAGCTGATTCTGTGGAGCTCTCTGCTACAACCGCACTGTAACCTGTGGGGAGTAAAGAGAACACAGTGAAGTGGAGGAAACAAAAGTTACATTTCATACAGATATAAAAAAGTTACACACTTGTGCTTCCGTTCTGCTTGAGTCCACTCGGAGGCCGAGCAGGAGCAGCATTAACACCCACTCCTCCAACCACACCAACACTTCCACCATTTCCTCCCATCATGCCGACTACACCAGAGGTAGTGCTGACAGTACTTGGGGGCATCTGTGAGGAACCAGGTGCCACGCTTTGACCTGGTACCAGACCCAGAATACTCCCGCTCAGAGCGCTGTGAGCCGAACTGGAGCCAAGTAATCCGAGCCCCGTGCCTGCTCCGTTGGTGGTGACTCCACTGGAGCCAGAGGTGGGGATGGAAGTGCTGCTCTCTACTGAAATGCTGGACTGGGTGGTGCTGCTCAGACCCAACCCGCCCGATGCTGCTGCCTGAGCATAAGGGGCAGGAGTGGAGCCCGAAAGGAGCCCTGCCATTGTGTTGAGAGGCGCATGTTGGCCACTAAGACCTAAAGCAGACATTTGACTGGCACTGCTGGTCCCCGTCAAGCCTCCTTTACTCAACCCCAGGCCCAGTCCGAGCCCCAAACTAGAAACTGAGGTTGGACCGGGTGTGGTCTGAGACTGAGAGTTGGGGGCGGACGAACTGGGCGTGCTCGGCGTAAGGAGAGAGGGCGCAGTGGAGGCCGGGAGTAGGGGGTTGCTGGGTGGACTGGGGGTGTTGTTTGACGGGACACAGGGTTTCGTCTGAGGCGGCTGCTGCTGTTGCTGCTGCGACGGTTGGTTTGGCGGCTGAGACTGTTGCTGCTGCTGCTGTGCCGGTTGATGCTGATGCTGCTGCACTGCGCTGCTGAAACTTCCTATTAGACTGTTGCTGGTAGGGACAGGGTTATTGCCTCCGACAACACTCGCCATGGACACAAGGGAGGAGGATGAGGAAGACCCAGAGGTGGCAGAGGAAGAGAAAGAAGAAAGCAAGGATGGGGTGCCGTTCTTCACAGGTGACTGAAAGGGAGAGGACCAGAGAGAGGATTGAGACAGAGTGTGTGCAGATGTCAAGTCCAGTTAAAACAAACAGTATAAAGATAAATGTACACCACATATGCCCATATATACAAATGTGTTAGTGCAAGAGGAACAGATTAAATCACAAGTCTCCAACCAGGGTCCCACAGAGAAAACGTGTTCCATTTCAGTGTCTGAGAGGCCAAAACCCTTCAGTCACCATGAATCTCCAGGACCATGGGTGAAGAGTGCTGCACTGAACTGTTCGTCTACTGACACACCACAGATGAGAACCTCTCACCTGACTAACTTCACTGTCTGTCGACCGTCCCCTTTTCTTATCGTCCTCTGAGTTCTCCTATAGGAGGAGATACCTTGATATGACATTCCACTTCTGAAACGTTGAAGCAGCAAACTAGCCAGTGGCTTAAAGCACAATTTGTCTGTACAGAAATGCATGTGAATGTATGTTCTCTACCCAGCATCCCATTTACAGCTTCACCTTCAGAGTTTCCCCACGGTCAGAAACACGACAACTTACGGCAGTGCATGTAGCTGGGGATGGAGGGATGGGTGACGAAGAGGTGGTGGAAGTGGGAGTGCTGCTGGAATGGAGATACAACTCATCTTCCACGTTGCCCTGACCTGAGGGAGAAGTTGCAACTAAAGCTGCAGCTGGGAACAAAAGATGAAACAAAGAAACGTTCAACGTTGTCAAAACAGGTATGAACCAAAACATACAGAGACAATCCAATAAAATTAGGTGGAATTTTAAACCCCCTTAGTTTCTCGTGTGTTTTTTGGCATTTGTTTGTTCAACTTTGATTCTTTTCACTGTAGAAACAGTGCTGTACATCTGTGCATGTTTCAGCTGCTGGAACAGCAGGGGATCCAATTTCCACCATAGTGGAAACGAGAGCAGGGTCTGCAGCTCACTGAGAAGGGTGGTGCTCTATAGTCTCATTCATGGGGGCTGGTCAGGACATGGTGGTGTGGAACTCGTGCAACCTACAGTCACAACCTGTTCAATGAAACCAGCTCCCCTGTGAGCCATTACACACTGCAGCTGTGGCCAAGTCCAGTGTTGTTGTAATAAATCATAAAGATTTCCTCTTTGAGTGGGCATTAAAAATCATATCATATACTATTGTACACTGTATGTTTTAAATCTGGCAACTCAATTTTTCAATTTGGACAAGGTGTGTTGAAATACTTCACCAACACCACCATGCTCAGATTTAGGTGAGAGGAGACAACAACCATAATTTACACACTATTGAAACGGACATTTCTAATATCCGCTAATATTTGATTTTTCTCTAAAATCCTAAATCCATTTATGAGGTTTTCTAGATGAAAATGTTCAACGTACATAATTTGTTTTAAATAATAAGTCACGTTTTCGTTTTAAAACAAACACTACGACCTGCGTCTAAAATCATTGTAGGATGTAACTTAAACTTAAACTTTTACTACAGCAGCTGAACGATAACTTTTTGACGCGTTAATAAATTCTGTTAATCAATGGAAATGTCAATGTTCTGAATACATTTTTAATTATGGATTAATTAGTCCTTTTTACTTTATGTTTCCGTTCGTCTACATTTACAGCCAGTACTCACGGATGTCTTCCAAGTCCAAGTCGTCATACAGGAACTCGTTCTCCTCAAAATCTGGATCCTGGGATGAATCGATGTAGTAGTCAACGTCGTCCTTGATCTTTTGGATCGCGTCCACTGGCACCGAGTCGTTATCCAGCATTCGCAATATGGTCTCCAACATCCGAATGTGGAACCTATGCCTCTCAATCAGCCGCTTGAGCTCATCAATTCTGTCCTGTTTCTACGAAAAAGTAAATGATCAGTTTGACGATACGTTTTATATTTGACAACTGTAAAAATAATTATGTAATTTAGACGGAAAAAAACTGACTTACCTCCTTATCACCTTTTTTCTTTCTTGTTTGAACCGAAAGCGATTCCACTTCACTTTCAAACTGATCCACCTGCATATTTAAAGTGTCTATCGTACTCTGCAGACGGAAACAGGGCCGGAGAACATAGCGTTAACAAAATGTGTTTTTTCTTAGTTCACGAAAATCAATAAAAACTAGCAAATATGATTAAGGTACTCGAAACATTTTAATAAAAAGCTTGTATGAAAAAAAAAAGTGAGTTACTGTTAGCCACTGTCCAGTTTCCTCCTTTTCCCTCTGAGCAGGATCCACTTTCTGAGCCAAACCCAAGCCTTCTTTGGAGTAGGCTTTTGTTTTAGTCTCACGTTCTACCACCTTGAAACGCTCCATTTGCTAGGGAAAGTAAACACCATACGAATCTTTTTGAGTTACACACTTTGACGTGATATTGAACAACCCATAACATAGTCTTTTAAAAAAAAAAATTAAAAAAAGAGAGAAGCGGTACCGTCTCTATTAGTTTGCGATTCTCGACTAGCTGCCTTTTGTCTTTGATCTCGTTTGAGGCCAACCATGTTTTAATTTGATCTCTTAATCGCTGGAAAGAGAAAGATTGAAAAAAAGTGTTTCAATTTTCCTATTTCATTTAGGTACACAGTTAATCAACATTTCACACACATTGAAAAATAGATCAGTTTTTGAGCTTTATTTACCTGCAATTTTTTAATCTCTTTCTTGAGGTCAGCCTCATATTTTTCCTTCTGATTGGCATTGGCTGCATTGTGAAGCTGCATTGTGTTCAGAAAAAAATGTATAAAGTAAAATGCTGTGAATGTAGTGTGGAGTCTTTTAAACACTTTTTCAAAATAAAGCCACAAAGTGAGAATAAGTTACCTTTTGCCAGATGTCTTCAAATTGTTCTACACCTTCAGCTACTTTTTTCAAACATCTATCGATCTCACCTGTGAAGATCAAACACGTAGCCCATCACTGAAGTAACCGCATTTTTTTTGTTATAAAATTAAAGATGTTACAGCATCCTGGTCGCCAGTCCAAAGAGTGCCATTGTCATATTTGGTCTTACCTTGTAGTTTTCTCTTGTCAGCCATGGCTCTGACTACGACAATGTTCACATTCCGTCTGTCACAAAGTTAACTGTGTGCAGAAAAATACCACATCAGGAACAGTTTCAACAGCGGACGGTGCCTACAACAGAGCCATCAGTGCAGCAGAATGTGTTCCATCTAAACTCCTGTCGGCTGGACTGCTAACGTTGGCCGCATAAATAATGGCAGGATTAAAGTCTTTTTCATCTACTACTCTTTGTGACGTTGAATTTCCGCGGACGCTGCTCATATAGCTACTGTTAGCGATGAGACTGGCATGGTTGTCAGCTAAAATTAGCCACTTAGCCACCAAATGTTAATACTAGCCATTTGCTTAACTCGTCTACCTCGCACGGCTAGCACCTTTCCCGTTTTAGACACAAGTATCACGGCGCAGATACCTGGGTGTATTTCGCACCCGTGCATCCTTCCTTTATGATGCAGTACTTATAACTTGTACATATTTAGCGTTTTAAATGGGTTGCTGATAAATAATAATCCGTCCAAAATCGTTATCATCTTAGCTCCTGCAGCTAACTGCTAATGTATAAAATGCTAACTAGCAGCTTAGCTAACCAAATTTTGGAAAAATGGAAACTGGGTCAACCCGGCTGTTTGTTTTCATAGTTGCTTAAAACGTTTACCTATGGTATGGACTTTCGTTTGTCTTTTTTTTAAACACGACCAGAAGTATATCCAGAAAAATCTTCTTAAATCCAAATTGGTATTTTCTTTTCGACAAGCTCGCTCAGTGTACTGTAGCTGAAGATGGACGGTAGCTCAAATCCCACCTCCACTCCGAGGGCCTGCCTTTAAATCTAAACTGAGAGACGTGATTGGACATGAGCCACGCTCGTCACAAACCTGCATCCGCTGGCATCATGGGCTGCGATCAGGGCCAGGTTTTAGATCAACAAAACAAAAACGGAACATCGTCGTGAATGTTTTTCTTTAGAATTTCGCAATATTCGAATTTGAGTCATATTTATGAGCCGGATGTAGATTGTAGTTTACAGTATATACATACGACACTGGGACATTAATACAGTTCCATGTTCACTTGACACTATTTAAACCATCATACGACACTGGGACATTAATACAGATCCATGTTCACTTGACACTATTTAAACCTAACAATAAGTTGCCTTAGAGCAAATTTTCATCTAATCGTTTTAAGTTTAAACAATACCAGGCAAAGTTCTATATTGTGGTTAAATCCCCTTTATCTAACTGCCACTGAGTAAGAGAACACATGGTAGACTCAAGTCCAACACATGGTGTAGAAACAATGCAAGACTGGGATCCAATATGGCAGCCACCACATAGACACTGGGTAGAAATGTATTGAATAGTTATGTTATATCTGATTCTTTTATTTATCATGTAAATATAGTACACTGAGTGTAAAAAGACAGTGAATGGAGGAAGTAAATTTAAAAAAAAAAAAAGCAAACTCCAACTCGTGGCCATGAATTCAGGATTTTTTTGGACAAAATGTCAATAATAAAAATAATAAAACAACAGTTACCCTCACGTCATCTTTGATACCCTGGTCAAAAGTGCACTGGTGTGCAGTGGGGAGAAGGTCAGACCATCAAAAAATCTTCATCTATAAATAAAATCCTATTTCACTTAATGCTATTTTAAGCCGACCCTAACCTGGTGTGATGGTGACCCAAAACACATACGATGTATTTCTTATACTGAGTCCACAATTACTGGTCTTTAAAGACAAATCCATTACTTGTTGTTTTGGAGAGAAAAATATTTACCTTAACAAACAACAAAATGACCGTAGCATCCTATTTACCCACCGTCGGTCAAACTGTGTTTACAGAAAACAAGGTTTTACCATGAACCAAAAAACAGCACGTTCTTCACTGCTTAACATTTAAAGTCCATTTGTTAAACAACTTCATTTGTTCTTTATTTAACATTATCAAAGTCTAACAATGATGTTTTTCTAAATCAATCCAGGGCGATAAATCGGGTTACAAAAGATTTTGTTTGTTTTTCCTTCTTTAATTAAGCGTAGATCAGCAGAATTCTACCAAACAATGACAAACTTGTATCGTCCTACCGGTGGTTATGAAAATATGATGCCTCGTATCGCAATACAAATCATAAAAGTATAAACTACTATGTACATAAAATGTACATGCACGTACAAGTCTACAAAGTTAAATTCTACATTCGATTTAGACGCATCTGTACACAAGGTTTAAATTAAATTAGAGAAATAAGTCCAAAACCTGGACTTTCACAGGGTCACATGACCTGAAACAGAAACTGGATTCGTCAGTATCAGATCCAGGACAGTGCAATGTTCAGTGAGATAGAGAGGCTGGGCTGGGCATTTCTCCAAACTGTGTGTCTGCCAACACCGACAGGTCTGGTTCAGTCTGAATAAAGAAGCAGAAACTTGGTCAACAAAAAAGAAATATCATTAACCCTGATGTGCTGTCATTTCTGTCCAACCAGTTCTTATGTTTTTGAACATGTGACAAGGCAACGTTTGGCTGCGCGTGAAAAATGAAACACCTCCTTCATAGTTGTTTCCGTTTCTCCTGACGTCACTGTATGTAAACACTATGCACTCTGACATGTTTGGTTTCAATAGTTAATTATAAACCTAGCCATAATCCCAATATTTCCTGTACATTGACACAGAGCTGAACAAATTAAATACAGTATAATTTAAACAAAAGCGCCCTTACTTAACAGCAGCATTTTCTTTTAAAAACAATCAAAAACCTTTGTAAAGTACCGTGGCCGTTATTTAAATACCTGCGGCTCTTTGTCCTTTTCTAGCTTGGGAATTCTGTGTCTCCTCTTTTTTGGTCCAGCAGTGTGATGTAAAGCTGTGGACGAGGCAGAAGCAGAGACACCATTGAGGAGGTCATCTTCTAGTCCAGCTGCAGCCTCTGACTGAGCTCCAGGTTCATCCTGAAGAAAAATGTAAGGAATTAGGATTACAGGCATTTATAATATTTCTAAATTAATTTATTATGGATTTAGCAATTCTTAGCATTAATTTAAAAAAACAAACATCTGATCAAAGGCCACTGAAGAACTGACTTTTAAGATGCAGGTCAGGATTGTATTGTGGTGAACAACTAAACGAAGATCGATCTGAACAGACTTGTACTTGTTATATAAAATGAGTAAGACAGAAATCCACAACCCTTTGCTTTTTACTTCAGTTTTTGTGAGTGTGAAGATGAGATGCCTTGTCCTATGTAACAGCATTTGGATTAAATAAAAATGGTGGCTGCTGTACATGTCTACTGATCTCATTTCTTACCTCAAGAAATATAGTGAGCTGTGCATTTCTATAATCATCCCCATGTGAATCTAACGTCTTCATCAGAAACCTGGAGAGAAATACACAACACCTCAATAACTAAAATATATGAATGTGTAGAAATGATTTTATTACACTGAGGTTTCGTACCGTCGTTCTTTCTTCAAACGCCGTGTAATTCTCTGTACTTGGTGAAGGCGGCCTAACAATTTTTGGTTTACCTGAAATTGACAGAGATCCCAAGTTATACCAATAATATATTAAGACTTATGTTGACAATAAAAACAGTGATAATATGTGCTTTGTTTTAGTAAATATATCAGCCCATGCCCATGACAACACACACACACACCTGCTCAATTTCTTTACACCTCCTGCTCAGTGCCAGGTATTTCTTCTTATGCAGCGCTCTACTGTCTTCATCTTCTTGCACTGTGCTCCCAAGCAGCTCATTGCCTCCTGGGCCGAGCTCCACCTGCAGAAATATCATTAAAAAAACACTTGGCTTCAGATATCTTGTCTCTCAAGTGCTGCCAAAATGACTTTTTGTACCAAATTTTCCAATAATTTTCCAAAAATGTAGAATAAAAACAGAAATATCTGATCAAAATCTTAACTTGAGCTCAGATGTTTAGAATATGACAGGAAATGATGGTTCATATCACCTCTCCAGATCCCAACTCTACACCTCAAAATGTAGAATACAAACAGAAATATCTGATCAAAATCTTAAAATAATTTTCCAAAAATGTAGAATAAAAACAGAAATATCTGATCAAAATCTTAACTTGAGCTCAGATGTTTAGAATATGACAGGAAATGATGGTTCATATCACCTCTCCAGATCCCAACTCTACACCTCCCGGCTCCAACTCTGCCTCTAAGATGTGTCCTCCAAACAGAGGAGGCAAAGCCAAACCAGAGAAATCCTCCATCATCTAAACAGGAAGGAACAATAAATCAATAAGAATTGAATGAACTATAATATAAGCTAACAAACCAGCTGTAGTAAGAAACTGCTGATCAGTTGTGGACTATATCCTGTATTCAGATGATGAGACCAAGATTAACTGTTTCAAATAAAACATCTACTCGGAACAAATAGATTCCAAACAGCAAACCCCACTCGTACTTAGGACGTTATTTCCCATTAGCTAAAGTTACACATTTCACCAGAATAAATACTTTTATTTCATTTTACTGGTAATTTCCCTCGTGCTGTTATGTTGAACCAGCAGAATCATCGTATTCAACGTGATAACTCATTTCTGTTGCTATTAGTTTACTTTGCATAAAGACTAGACAAAAAATTGTCCCAAACCCAAACAACCTTAAGCTAAAGACATACTTACATTTCTGACAATACACTTTGCTCTGTGTCCTGCAGCTTTGAAATTTCACTGCGGTTTGTTTTCTGTTCGCGGTCTAAATAGATTCATTTGTTTGTAATTTAAACACTAACCCTTTTATGCTATATATATTTTTTAAAGTAATGAAAACGGAGTATTAAGAGAGTAATTATGCTTTTGTCTTCCTCGTTCACCCTGAGGAAGTATATTTTCGTGAGACGGTCACGGAATATAGACGTCATATTTCCCATGAGCACTCGCGCTGTTCAACAACACAGAACAACATGGCGAGTAAGTAAATTTCATGTTATGATTTACCCCCCTTAACGGAAGAATAAGACATCATAAATCTTTACATAAGAAAATACTTTCTGTAATTAAACGGCATGTCACAGAATGCATCTCCTAATTTAAGAAATCCAATAACGTTCAGTAGAAATGTAAGAAAACGTGACCTTGGATGTGTTGCTAAAGCTAAGCTAACATAGCTAAACCCTTAATTGACATTGAGTATTGTCGCATATTCAGTATAAAAACATAATAGTAATTACCTGTAGAGACGTTCAGTCCATCTGTTCGTACGTTAATAGTTTTTCCTGCTTCTGTCCGCAGGGGTCCTAGCCTTTCTGAAGAATGCGTGGGCTAAAGAGCCTATTTTCACGATCGCCGGTGGAATGGTAGTTGCCGGTAAGTAGGTCCATGCTTTATGAAACAGAGAGGTTGACTTTAGTAACTTTAAATAATGAACTCATTTGAAAAAGTAAGTGAGGGTAAATCAAGAAGAGTTATAATACGTGGAAGTTTAAGATGTGAAGTAAAGAAAGTGACGGTGGAGCTGGTGTCTACATCACAACACCAAAGAAGTGACGAGAATCAGTAGAGTCATACCTGAAGGTGGGGGTGGAGACGAATGTCGGGGTAGTTTAAGTCACTGCGGTCCGGAAACTGCGACACTTTCATATTACATTAATAATAATACTAATAATAATACATTTTATTTAATGTGTGTTTTGCATCTTTTGCTTTTTTTTTAAAATTAAATTCCTAAGATCTAAACATTGTCTGAAATCCATTGACACTGTGTGCTGTTCACAACGTTCTTGTTTTGAGGTAAAATATTGTTGATGTTCACAGGTATCATTTTGCCGCTGATAAGCCCCCTCACAAAGTACTCAAATAAAATCAACGAGAGCATGCCGTACAACTACCCAGGTAGAAACGTTGGTCCTTTTCACTGTCAAAAGCACAATGTTCAATATTCAGTTATCCAAATCGATATGTTTTCCTGTAGATCATAACTAACAACAAAGCTTCTTTGTCCCCTTTGATCCGATGCAGTTCCAGTGCGAGACAATGGAAGTATGCCCGACATTCCTTCTCATCCAAGTGAACCGAAGGGAAGAAGCCTGGAGTGGTTAAAAAATATGTAACTTTGGTCCGAACCAATGTAAATAATTCTCCACTTTCTCATATCTGTCCACAACACTGATCAGCCCAACAATGTTCCAGAATAAAGACTATTTAACTCTCATGCTGTTTTGTGGTGTAAGACATGATTTGTTACACACGCAGTAGTACGTTCCAATTTTGTTATATATTTATAATTATATTTTTTCTCATTGAAACATGATTCTTCTCACCTTAGAAGGAATTTAAGATATATAAAAAGAAAATGCAGATTTTTGATCACTTTCAAAGTTAAAATCTTCCAACAATGGATGAACGTGTTTCTGCATAAAAAAAACATTCTAGAATCAAAATGTCAAACCGCCTTTTCTTTTAAAGAACATTTATTTTAAAACATTGGGTATTTCAGATATCACCAACCATTCATCATCAAATTAAGATGCGACTGTCCGCAATAATACTGTTTATTATTGATGTGCAATAATTGATCAATATTCCACTTTGGAAGAAGAGACTAGACTTTATATGAGAATATATGTATATATATTGTATATATTGATGGCAGCAAACAAGCTAGACCTAACACTACTTCTGTTTTGCATAGTGACCTCTTGTGGGACATGCTGTACACTGACACGTGATAAATTACATTACATAGTTCATTACCTTTACTTGTCCATACTTTCTCCATTTATTTCAAATGTATTTCAAATCAATGTGTAATACAATTAATGTAAATTTATTTTCTACACCAGAGCTACAAAATGAAAGTGAACCATAAAAACAGGCGCAGATCGTTCTAGATCAGGGTTCTTCAAGGAACCAATGTCCCAGAATGTGTATTCACAGAAATTTACATTAGATTTAAAAAAAAAATTCAATACTTCTGTAGAAACTTTTCTACAGACAGGGGGAGAACCACTGTCTTGGTGAGTTCAACCAAAGTGGAATATCATTGTTAAAACGACCAAAGTCAAACAGGCACATTTGAGCACAATGTACAGGCACTTATTAGCCTCGACGTGGTTAAAATTGTTTACGTCGAACTAGTCAAAGCACTATATTAGATGTTAAGTTTCTAAGACAGGTCGCAGCCTGATCCTATCATCACATCACATTACACAAAGTCACATCCAACCAGACTCATCGTCGTCATCATCATCATCATTTGTCAGGCCCTCACCACTGACAGGCGACAACAGAGCTGCCCAGTGTTACTGAGGACGCCTGTAGATTATCATAAAAACTCCTTCAAACGTTGGTCGACTTCCATTGTTCCTTCCTCATCACTTTCATTTGGACTTTTCCTCAACAGGACTTTACCGTCTGTCCTGGCTTCTTCATATGGAGGCTCGTTTTCAAGAGTAAAAAAAAAAAAGAAAAAACTCTGGACTCAGTTATGAGATTTAAAAGTCATAAAAATATCAGAGTACTGGAATAATCTGTACCTTTTTACTTTAGATCTCTTTGAATTTATAATGATTGCACCATTAGAACTTTTTTTTCTGAACTTGTAGTATTTTCATTTTATATAATTTAGCCTCTTTAATCTAATGAGAAATCTCATAACCAGACAGACACGAGCCTCCACATAAAAGGAACCAAGATGACGAACACTGAAGGCACTTTTTTTTCATCCTCACGACTTGGAACCGTCCATAACAAGTTACTTTCTTCAAGAAACATTTTGCACAAAAACGTTTTTTTCCTCTTACAACTCATATTTTCTCTGATTGTTGTTTGTTTTTGTGAAGGTCATCAATGTTTTTCTCTCCGTCCTTCATTCCCATAGAACACACTTTTAAAAATGTGCTCCGCCTCAGTCATTTAGACTTCACTTACATTAATAAGGTTCATTAGAACTAAACCAAAAACCTACATTCAAACTAATTCATCATTTTAGAGCAGCAAAGTGAAAACTCTGTAAACATAAAAAAAAACAACTCAAATGTATTCTCCCCCCAAAAATTAAATAGTATTTCTTTCCATCAGTTATAGAATCTAACGCATTCTCTCATATATAATTATATCATCGCTCTTCCTCAGCAGGAGCCGGTCCTTTTTTTTAATATAATACTTACATTACAGTCCAGGAGAAAGTGAACAACTAGAACAACATCTGTGGAATATTCCAAGTTCAACTGCACCACACAGACAGTAAATAATCCACTGAACCCCTTCACTGGCTGGAAATAAATCTCAGAAAATATTAGTTCACCTGGTGGAGCAAACACAAACTAACTACAGCCAAACATTTGTTTAATAAAAACTAGTCTATGTTTCATTTTAAGGCCTCACCTTTTTTTTTCAATAATAAATCACAGGAATCAGTTTTCTACTTCCTCCTATCGCTGCCCCCTGCTGGTCAGTCATAATCTATAAAAATAGGCCTGAACACATGGGCCTTTAAAAAGTTGTTTTTTTTTTCTTCTGTTTTTGAATGTGCAGACAGAACATCCAAAACACAGACAACATAAATCCAGGAACTGTTTCCAGGTTCATCTCAGCGGAACTCAACCGCTTACTCAATGATGGGAGCCGAGCGATCGTTGGTGACGGTTTTTCTTAGTCGTATGTGGGCGAATGGATTTGGCCTGAAGAGAAGAGAATTGTATGGAAAATTAATATTTTTGATTAAAAATGCAGAGAAAGGGTTCACTCCTTCAGTCTCAGTTTCAACAACCAAGCAGATGTATTTTTTTAACCTTCTCAAAATGACGTGTTCTTTTTTTCTTCCACTTAACGAAGTCACAAATTATACTAATCCCATTGTGTACTCTGTAGCTCCACCCCTTCCTGTGCGAAGATCAACCATTGACTTTAATCGTGCACTACTGCTAACCGCTACGATGTACAACGCAAATTTCCCAACAGCCATTTTTTCTCTCTGTCACGCGCTCAACCGTTACCATGGTTACATCCTCAGGTCTTCTAATGAACAAACATACATTTCATGTAGACACCAAGGAACCAGAACAGAACAAGGAGGGAGGGTCCTTACCTGGAGGGCGAGGGTGGAGAAGAACCCAGGTCTAAGGTGATCTGAACCACAGACAAACAAACCATCAGACACGGCTCAGTGTCATCACGTGTCACGGGACAAAGGTTTCGTGTTTCTGACCTTGTTGGTGTCAGCCATGCTGTACGGGCGCGGGCGGAAGGTGCTGACCCTCTGGGAAGGAAGGGAGCGTTCCTCCTCCGACTCAGGGGTGAGAGCCGGCAGACCTGCAGAGCCTATCTTGTCGAGCTGGCCGGTGCTGGTGCTGTTAGCTTTAGATAAGAAGAGGGCGCTACAGCAGAGGTGACGGACAGAGAGGAAAGAATGCAGCAGATAAAAAATAAATAAATAAAGAAACGCGATCAGAGTGGACAGATATTAGTTTCATCAACAGCGTTGTTAGTGTTGGACGGTGGGAGAGGGAAGACAAACAGTATCTGGAGTCAGGGTTAACGCCTGTGACCACTGTTTTTGTAGGAGTGGAAACTGACTGGCTCTGACTGTAGACGTCAACATAAAAAAACTGCAACATGAACAGAACATCAACAGCAGCAGCAGCAGCGGCAGCAGCCGCAGCCGCCGCCGCCCCCGGCCC